CCCTCCCGCTGGTGGTTTGTTTTTTCCTTAACAAAAAAAATTGGGTTTGTACATACAAATCAGTGACTTATTTTATTTTTTGTGAATCCTCACATGAGGCTACTGTTCCCGTTGCTTCCTCGGAGAGAGTGGAAGGGAGAGAGAGACACGTCCGTGTGGGAGACACACAGCGGCTGGCCGCCTCCCACACGCGCCCCACCCAGGGCCGGGGATCGAGCCTGCAACCGAGGGACGTGCCCTTGGCCGGACTCGAACCCAGGCCCCTTCAGCCCACAAGCCAGCGCTCTAACCACCGGGCCAAACCGGCCAGGGTGAGAGGATATTTTCCCCATTGACTTTTAGAGAGTGGAAGGGAGGGAGGGGAGAGAGAGAGAGGTCGATGGGTTGTGTCCTGCACATGCCCCAATGGGGGTTGGGGGTCGACCCTGCAGCCCAGGTCTGTGACCTCGACTGGGAACCGAACCCTAGGCCCTTTGTTGCTTCGGCCGACGCCCTAACCACTGAGCCACAGCGGCCAGGACACCAGGTTGATTTTTTGCATTTGCGCGTCCCACGTGTCCCCTCTGACAAATACACGGTCCTGCGTCCCTTCTCCACGGGGTGCCTTCGGGCTCCTGCCGAAATGTGCCTCCCGGGCCCCGCTGTCGTCGCTGGTCTCGGCCCGGCTCCCGAGCCCCGCGGCTGCGTCCCACTTGCTGTTCTTTGTCCACACTGGCTGGCGTCGCCTCTGTCTTCAGTTTTCCCACCACAGGTTGAGAATCAGCCCGTCGGTTTCTCTAAACCTTCCCCTCGGTGCTGGCCGGGGCAGCGTGGTGCCGGCGGGTCCGCTCACAGAGGCTGGGCCGGGGGAGCGGGGCGGTCCAGCCCAGGAGCCGCCGTGTCTCCCCGCTCAGGTCTTGTCCGATTCCCCTCGTCCGCCTGCTCGGCTCCTCGGCACCTGCGCCTTGCGCGTTTGGTTAGATTTATACCTAAGTATTTCGCGTTTTCTGGTGCTATTGTAAATAATATTTAAAATTTTTTCAGCCCGGCCGGGCGTGGCTCAGCGGTTGAGCGTCGGCCTGGGATCCAGGCGATCGGGGTTCGATTCCCGGTCAGGGCACAGGCCCGGGTTGCGGGCTCGATCAGTGACTCTCTCATCATTGATGTTTCTATCTCTCTCTCTCCCTCTCCTTTCCTCTCTCTGAAATCAATAAAGATATATTTAAGGAAAAAAATAATACTCTAAAAAAAATAAAATTTTTTCAGCCCTGGCTGGTTTGGCTCAGTGGTTAGAGCATCGGCCCGCAGACTGAAGGGTCTCGGGTTCGATTCCGGCCAAGGGCACGCACCTGGGTTGCAGGCTCGGTCCCCAGCCCCAGTCAGGGCTTGTGTGGGAGGCGACCAATCGATGTCTCTCTCTCACATCGATGTTCCCTCTCTCTCTCTCTCTCTCCTTTCTGCTCTCTCTGAAAAGCAAAGGAAAAAATATATATCTTTAGGTGAAAATTAAAATAAATTTTAAAAAAATTTCAATTTCCAGCCGCTCATTGTTAGTGTACAGAAATGCAGCTGCTTTCGGGGGTTGCCCTGTGGTGGTGTCACCCTCTCCGCCCCCACCGGTCCCGCTGGGCGTGGTGGGTGCGGGCGGGCCTCCCACTGGCCCCTCTGCCCCGTGTCCCCAGGTCAGGCTTGGGCAGCTGCTGAAGCAGCAGGAGAAGATGGTCCGGGACATGGAGCTGGCCATCGCCCGCAGAGAGACCATCTCGACCCGGGCCGAGGGCCAGAGCAAGACGGGCAGGAAGCCGCTCACCCGCACGGACTTCTACCACAGGCAGGCCGAGCTGCGGCGGAAGATCCGGGACCTTCACCAGGTAGGGAGCCTGCGAGGGCGGCCTGGCCGCAGGCTGGCGCCCGCCGGTCCCCTTCCCTCNNCCGGTCCCCTTCCCTCCTGGTCAGCCTTGTCACCAGCCTCGCTGGCAGACGTCCCTGGCAGGCGCCGTCTGAGCCGCGTCTGTCTCCAGGGAGCAGCCTGCCGAGTGGGACTCACCCCCTCTCCACCCGGGTCCCCGCTCCCGAGGGGCAGGGCCTTTCCTCGTCCCCCGGGGAATCCTCCCACGCTGTGCCCATAGAAGGCTCGGCAGGGCCCGACTCCCCTCTGCCCACCGGCTAACCCGGCCCTGGGCCCCAGGGTGACCCCGCCTGGCCCCTAGGTCACCGAGGAGTGCAGCAACAACGTCCTGGAGCTGGAAGAAACCCAAAAGCGGATGAGCAGCTCCCTCCTGGAGAAGCAGACACAGCTGTCCGCCATGCAAGCCCGCACCGAGGAGCTCGAGGCCAACCTGAAGCAGCTGGTGGCCCTTAAGGGACAGGTAGACGGGACCCAGGGCCACTGGGGCCGCGAGAACCAGGCCGTGGGGGCTGCCGGCACAGCAGCAGTGGATGCAGCCATGGGCACGGCCCTCTCCTGGCCACCCCAGCCCGGCTGGTCGAGGCACCGCCCCAAGTGCTTAGTGACCGTCCGTCCGTCCGTCCGTCCGTCCGCCTCATGTGCCTCAGGCTCCTCCGAGGTCCAGGGCGGCCCCGGGAGCCAGGGCTGCTGAGCGGAACAGAAAGACCAAAAGCCGGCCCTTCCCGGGTTAGGTCCTGGGGGCCAGATACCAACAGTCAGAGAAAAGACACCCAGGTTAGGTGGGGACAAATTCTCTAGAGGAAAGTCAACAGAGAAACAGTGTGGGGGGACCTGCGCTTTCAGGTGTGTGTGTGTGGGGGGGGAGTGACACCTGAGTCAGACTCACTCAAAGGAGCCGAGGGAGCGAGTCGCCCGGGCAGAGGGGCCAGTGGGTAAAGCTGGAGCTTGAGGCTGCCCCAGGGCCACCAGAGGGCCGCAGGCTGGACGGCAGGGCAGGGGGGACCCCCCTTGGGGGCCCGTGATCATGATGTGGGCTGTTCTCTCAGGAGGAGGGCAGATGTTGGAGGGGTTTGGGGCTGCAGGAGATGTGTTAGTAGGATCGTTGTCTCTGAGGCTGAGCGAGGAGTGGAAGGTGAAGGGTGGATGCGGGAGACTAACGTGGGGCCATTGCAGTAAGTATGGAGGACAGTGACACAGGGACAGGGCCGGGGCTAGTGGACAGCCCGATTCTGCAGAGAATTTCAGCGGGATTTCCTGCGAGACTGGACGTGGTGTGAGCAGAAGAGGGAGGTCAGGCAGGGCTTCTGGGTTTGGGCCTGGTCAGCTGAGACGGGGAGATAGCAAGGGGAGTGTCTGGCACCAGGCCTGGCACATGGCCCGTCACCTGCCTCGTAGCTGATGGAGGAAGCCTCTGCCCCAGCCTTGTCCCCTAGACGTGGGACTCTGTGCCCCAGGCCGTCCCTTTCCTGCCCAGCCCTGTCCTTTGTCATTTCCTCGAGTCTGGGTTTGCGTGGGGGGGGGCCAGTGGGTGTCCTCTTTTAATCTGCACGGCCTGACACAGGGTTTCTTGTCCCACCCAAGAAACTGTCCGAGCTTGTGAACCTGCAGACCCGCCACAAGCACCTGCAGGCGGTGAAGGAGGGCAGGTACGTGTTCCTGTTCCGCTCCAGGCAGGCGCAGCTGGAGGAGCGAAGGCGCCTGGACGACCGGCTGGCCACCATCGGCACCATCCTCGACCACGTGAAGGACGAGCACCCTCAGTTCCAGGAGGCCCTGCTCAAGCTCAGGCAGACGATCGCCAGCAAGCTGGACTCCCCGGGGCCCTCCTAGGGCCCAGCCTGGCCCGCCCCTTCCTGGGCTGGCCCCCCGGGGTAGAGGCCAGGATTTTGTGTATTGCCTGGGACTTAGGATATTTCTGTGTCACCAAAAGCCATGTCTACCCTCCGAAAATGACCCAGATTAAGAGAAATAAATAGGCCAGCACTGTAGGAAATTTTTCTAGCCTCCCACAAATTTAAACCAAGTCAAATCCCAGTGTTCCCGGGTACATTTAGGCAAGTCTTCCACTTGCAGAGGCAGCACTTGTGAACGCAAACCGTGTTCCCACGGCGGGCATGCTCACCTGAGCGGAACCTGGGTCTGCGGGGGCTCCCACTTCTGCACCTGTGAGTGCTCAGAGGGGAGCAAAGAAGGGACCCCACAGAAAGCCGCACTGTGCTGGCCCTCAGGCCTCCCCACCTCTTCCAGGGCGCATCTGGAAACCCACAACCTACCTCCCCATTGGCAGCGTGCTCCCTCCTGCCCCCCCCCCAAAAAAAACTCGGGTCCCTTCTCCTGCCCCCACTCCCAGCCTGGGTTCAATCCCAATTCTCAGCTCGAGGGAGAAAGTGCAGGGTCAGTGACCCATGGGGATGCTTTCGGAGACCCAGCTCCTGAAATAAGACGGAGCACGTGGGTATACACAGAGGCCCTGTCCCAGGTCTGCCACTGGCCCAGCCTTCAGTGGCATCCTCCCACACCCGATCCCGGAGCACCTGTTACCTGTGACTCCTCTGCACTATAAAGGGAAATATTCTACAAAAGAATCTCACTTTCAGACTTTTCAATGCAAAAATACATTTTTCCCCCTGAATACGGAGAAAGGCATATTTATTCTAAAACACTTGAGAAACACAAAAACCATGAGGAATCGGAGGTGCTCTCAGTCCCTGGCCCAGAGGCGCCCCCGTCTATGCCTGACAGGTGCTCTCAGCCAGCGCCCCATTGTATGAACTCTCCTTGTAAATGTCACCGCACGTTCCCACAGCAGTCAGCCTTATGGGCTATGACGATGTTTCCCTTTACGGAATAAGTTAATGCATTTAAGTTACTAAGTTGCTTCCGACTGTTCGCTACGTCTGCCGTTTCGGTGCTGAACACCCATGCCCAGGCCAGACTGGCAGGAGGGGAGCCCCCTGGAGCAGCCGGGCAAGCTCCCAGGAAGCCGGGCAGCAGCTGCGGTGTGCTCACGGGTGGGGGTCGCCCCCTCCCCGGCCCGAAAGGCAAGGTCCGCGAATCCTAGGGGCTGTCGTCCGCAAGGTGCGCGCCCCGGCCCCTCCCCCAGGGCAG